AGATGGATCCCAGAGAGGAGCAGTTCGTTTTATACTGATCGTCGTAAACGAACTAGGCCTTGGTTAATTACTGCGTACTCTTAACCCGTAAGATATTAAACAGGCATCAATGTGTAGTACTCATTACTTTGATTCACATGGGTGATGCTTAGTGAACTGGGCCAATAGACCCACTGTCTTGTGTAATATTGCTGCATACAGGATGTGCTGTTAGGATATTTATGGTCACCATGTGCGTTAGTTTGATGATGTTCCCGGAGTGAATTCATGAAGGATTATTATGCTAAACCCTGCAGGTGGATTAAATTTCGGCATAGCAATAATGTGATGAACGAGCACTAGCTTCGGTGAAATAATAATAAATTAATTAATTTTGTCAGTAATCGAATTAATTAATAGACATTATATCTTAAACATGAGGAGATAAATCGAGTAATTATTATTGGAGTCTCAATTGTAAAATGGGCTAGGAAAAAAGAGTGCAATAATATTATATTGGTGGTCCATTTAATATTATTTAATCAATTAAAATAAGTGGATTGGTCTACAAGTATTTTAATTAATTAAGGAGTCCTAATCCTAATCTCATAAGGGTCCCTACTGTAGCTCTATATATACATCATTAAGCTCATGGGAAGAGGTGAGAAGTCTCATAATTCACGCCAATAACCGCCGCCCCATATTCTCTCTCTCTCAGTTCCCATTAGAGCTTTATCTTCTTCTTGTTGTTCCACCGGTACAAGATTAAGAGGTGTTTGAGACATACAGTAGAAGATCTGTAGGTAAACCGAGACGAAATATATTTTGTAGTACAGAAGTAACCGGAGGTCCGATCAAGACGTACAGCATACCCAGACGACCGTCTCGACGAGAGCTTCCAACACCACCGAGATCGCAGCCGTCTGACGACACACGCGCCGCCACAAGCTCCCAGGACTGCAAGCTTGTCTTCATCCGTTTACACCCGTTTGATCCGATTTTCAATCCGATCTTGTTCGTGCAATCCTAGGACACAATTTGCAGTCAACTTTTCATTGGTGTGCTGTGTACGGCCATCCAGAAGATCAACCAGATCGCCATAAATTTTAAGCCGTAAGTTCTCTACGCAAACCTTTAGATTCGCTGCGCATAGGTTTACGTTTTTCTATTGAATTTGTGATTTGTACATAACGAGATCCTCATAGATCCTAACAAGTGGTATCAGGGCACTTGGTTTAATTCGTTGTGTACGAGTTCAAATTTTTACGGCTTTATTTGTCAAGATGTGTTCAAACGCAGCCATATATTGGATTATATTCGCATAACTCAATTTTGCAGGAATTAGTTTAATCCACTATTATGGCCGACTATATATTTGATGAATGTTGATGAATGTGATGTATGGTTTTAAATTTGTTTTTAAAGCCTCGACATGTCGAGGTATTTGATGGATGAATGTTTGTAATAATTATTCGCCCGGAGGTTGAGCGGATAGATTTAATTATTTGTTTAGAAAAACATGTACATCCATTCGTTGGATCTAGGATCGAATTATGTAATTTTGTAAATTATATTTTTCGTGTTGTAATCGTGGATTAATGCCGGGAGATTACAAGAGATCAACGAGCCTCGAAAAATCATCCGGACTGGAGCCTGGAGACCGCGTGAACTCGCGCAGAAGAAAAAAATGGCGCCGGCGGTTTTTCACCGGCGATGGCAGCGGCGGCTAGGCGGCGGTGTTTTTACTTGGTGGCCAAGAAGTATGATATCAACCAGGATCCTACCGCAGTGAGAGTTCACGTGAACAGGGAAAGAATATACAAGGTTTCCTTGTTTATGAGAACTCAATATTTAGTGACCATAATAATGGATTTATTTATTTACATTCATTATGCCATTATTTATTTATTTATTTATTTATTTATTTATGCATGTTAATTATTTATTGTACTTGCATGGGGTTAATTTAGAATTGCATATTTATTTATGCAAGTTAATTAATTATTGCATTTACATAGGATTAATTTAGAATTGCATAAATATTTAAATAAGTAAAAATCCTAATTAAAATTATACTAAGTTTGAGAAGGGATTTTAAGTAACATTTAATTGGGGATTTTAAGTAACATTTAATTGTAAATTCCTAATGCCTCTATTTTTAATTTGTCGGTAAATCAATTAAGTGCGGTTATAGGCTCCCCCTCGGGTGACATCGCTAAAATTAATTGTAGGTAATTACCAGGATAAATTTTTATACTAGACGATTAGAGGGAGTCTTATGAGAGAGTACGGGCTTCCCCTCGGATGACGTATAATCGAATTCGTACGAATTCAGGATCGAGAAATGGGATTCACTTAGAATGTGATTTATTTATAACTCCCCTCGGGGTCCCTAAATTTATTGCATGGCCAAATGGAGACCGACTATTAATTTCGTTCGTCAAGAATTTGGTTTTGACTTATGAAAATTAACGGGCCTTTGAATGCCCCTCTCTTGCGAATGTTGAGTTGTGTAGGGTTGCCCTCACATCATGCATTAACTCTCGGTGTTTTGAGATGTCGGTGAATTTAAGTTAATATTGTTTTGAGGATATCAATATTAGCAGTTAAATTCGAATGTGTTTAATCTGTAAAATTATTTTCGTGTTTCTCAGATATTCATCATGTCGTTCAATCCGTTATCTGTCATTCTAAAAGAAAATCAACTTACTGGTCCTAATTACATTGATTGGAAGAAGAACATAGACATTGTGTTGACTGCTGAGGGTTATAAGTTTGCGATTACTGAGGCTTGCCCGGCAGAGCCCGCGGCTGATGTTCATGAGCAGGAGAAAGAGGAGTATGCCCGGTGGAAAAAAGGCTGATGAGATGACGAAGTGATACATTCTGGCATCTATGTCAAATGTTCTTCAACATCAGCATCAGTCTATGAACACTGCGGCAGACATACTTCTCAATCTCAGGAATCTGTTCAGACACCAGTCTAGGGCTGCTAGGCAAGAGGCTATGAGTGCTCTGATGACTACGCACATGGCAGAGGGCACACTCGTAAGGGAGCATGCTCTCAAGGTTATGGCACTGCTCAATGAGCTTGAGGTTGTGGGAGGTTTTATCAACGGGGAAACCAGGTTGATATCATGCTCCAATCTCTGCCGAAGAGCTTTGATCAGTTTCGGTTGAACTACAACATGCACAAGATGCATATGGCTCTTCCAGAACTGCTAGCA